AGAGAGAGAGAGAGAGAGAGAGAGAGAGAGAGAGAGAGAGAGAGAGAACAAGACAAAGAGAGACAGAGGTGAAGAGGAACACACAGAGAGACAGAGTTCCTGTTTTATGCAAGGCAGCAACAGGAGCACACAGTAACATATTTCTAGATTTGTAAATAAAACTTCATAGGGCAGAGTGAGCTGAGTCTCCATGGGATTACCAGTACCAACAACAGAACCTGATTCCTGACAGAAGATCTATGTGGATAGAGAATCTAGGTCTAGACTAACAAATGTAGAAGCATCAAGAATCTGTAACCAAATAAGCCACAAAGAAAGCAAGCAGAAGGGGGAATTGAGAGAGGCAAGAGTTCTGTCTGCCATAGCTCACTTGGGTGTGTTCTGTTGCCCTTTGCTACCTTTTATTTTGGTGCTTTTCTTAGGGAGGAAATTCATAGCAGGTTTCCAAAGATTCTTCAGAAGCAATCTCAGATATACAGTTGCCACATTAAACTTAGTAGAAACTGGAGTTGGGCCAGCTATGTTTTGAGTCTGTCTTTTATGAACTGGGCCTGTGACTCAGAACCAGTGCATCATGCCTGTCTCCTATACCAAGAGTCTGTGACAGAGAACTGGAGAAGTTAAACTGAGTCTTGCCAGGAAATAGTTTTGTCCTCTATAGAGGAAGGAAAACTGAGAAGCTGCTCTTGTGGAACTAACCAGCCACTGAAGGAGTCTCCTCAGCTTGCCTTGTCAAGATTTCTTCACACATAGGTGGCTTCTAGGAGGCTTTTACGTGTGTGTATATGTGTGTGTGTGTGTGTGTGTGTGTGTGTATAGTAACAATAAAAAAGAGGACATGGGTTTGAAAAGAGTGGGAGTAATGTTTGGAAGGGCTTGGAGGAAGGGAAAGGAAGGAGAAATTATTGTAATCATGTTATAATCTCAAAATAAAACAATAACAAAATGAGAATAAATAATAAACTGTAAAACCAAGCAACTTGTCTCATAGTAATACTGCTATAGAATACTGTAAGCCTCTTACTGCCTGTCTCAAGCCTTAAGACTCCATGTGCAGACTGGGATGTATAGGAATGCAGATTGTGATGCAAGAGGTATATATTTTGCTGCATCTTCTGTTGTTCATGTGTTCTGTGTGCATATGTCTGCAGGAAGGCAAGGACCCAGGACCAAATATGTACTAAGTATGTTCTGTCTCCCCAAGCTATATCTCAGCTCTTTTACATTTCTAACCAACTCCCAGGTTGTTCTGAGGCTGCTATATGTCAGCAAGACTTTGAGCAGCAAACTAGAGGGAATCTAAAAGAAATGAAGCCATATCTGCCTCGACCGTAATGTTAAACCCACTGCTAGTGCACAGCCAACACTAGAGCTTATTCTAACTGCATAAAATTGAAGACGATTTCAACACACAGTCCCTGACTTCTGACTCCATACCTAGTTCAAAAAAGGGAAAATATGCTGCTGATTCCCCGGTCTTAAGTTTATGTCTAGGTAGAAGAGTGGTGACCTCAGCAGCTATCAAATTGGCCAGAAGAATGAAATAGAAATCACAAAAGAAAAAAGAGAAAGTCAAGAACAGGTGATAGGAGCTCACCAGCCAATAGAAAGGTTATTTCTGGTTGTCCCAGAGCATACAGTTCAGTGGAAGAGGCTGAATTTGAACAAATGCAATCAGTATCTGCTAGCAAGATATTTGCAAGGTCTTTGTGTAAGAAACTCTAGCCAAGAAGCTGGATCTTAAAGATTTCTCTAGGCTTGCTAGTGTACTCATCAGATCATAGTGATACATTGGAAGGCAAGCCAGTGTCTACTCGGTAGAAGGAGGAAGATTGGCTCAGAAATATTGCAGAAACACATTGCAGTTTCCTCAAAGAAGTGGAACATAGAGGTAGTCCTCAAATATGATACCCTTGGTGTGTTGGAGTAGTGTGGTAACCTTGTAAGTTCTCTCTTCAACTAGTTTAATTCAATTTTAGTTCTCAAATTTTAAAACATCTCCAGAGATAGAAATGTCAAAACTGAATAAGCAGAGGCAATGGTGCAATGTGACCTCTCTTAAACTGTACATGGTTCCACATTAATAGTTCTTATTATCTCTCAGTGCATATGCTATAGTTTGACTTCGCTATGTGAATCTGATCTCAGAATTTTTTAGTCGCAAAGGTCCACTCCTCCACCACTCTTCCTTTGGTCAGAGTGCAGTTTTAGATATTTGCTGTATTTGCTACCACATAAAATCAAACATCTGTAGTTAGAAAACACTTAGATGTTATAGAAAATGATACTACATGATTTGCCTGAGATGAAACTTTTATGTATTGATCTATGTGTATGTGTGGATATGAATATATATGTGGTGGCCAGGTGATGCCATCAGGTGCCTTCCTCAGTCATTTTCTACCTTAGATTTTGAGACAGGGTCTTTCATTGAACCTGGAGCTTGCTGACTCAGCTAGACTGGCTGAGCAGCAAGCTCCAGAAATCCTCCTGTCTCTCCCTCTGCAATGCTGGCATTAGACGTATTAACCATCACACTTGGCATTTTTTTTAAATATGGGCTCTTGGCATCCAAGTCGGGCCCTCATGCTCACATGGCAACTACTTTTCTAATTGCACCATCTCTTTAGTCTAACTGAGATGTTATTATATATAATGGTGATTTACATGCAGTATGAGATAATGTACTCTACATTTCTTAGAATCCTAAGCTCCAGTTTCCTTCTTTCTTCCTTCTTCTCCTCCCTTCCTCTCTCTGTCTTTCCTTCTATAATGTGCAAGGCTCAATGATAAAATTATCTAAGGGAGAACAGTTTGGAGTCAATGTTTATGAATGAGTTCAGTGCTCATCCTACTCGATATGCAAGAATGTACTCATATGTACATGAAGTATGCCTTCAGTGGGACCGTGTCCACATACAGTCTAGTGGCACAGTCTTACTGTCATTAATTTTTTTATGTCTGTACCGGCTATCATTTTATACCGTGTCTTCCTTTGGTATATTCTCCTGTGTGAATGAATGGTTGTATAGTTGGAAGAGTCAATCCCCATTACAGACAAACAATTCTATTTCTCTGTAGACCATTGGGATGCTAATGTGATTGAGTTTCTCAGAGTTTCAGGATGTCTGCTGGCAGGCAGAGGCTTCTGTAGGGCTGCAGTAGATCCAGTTCCTGCAGCTTCCTCTATTAGGAAGCAAAGACTTCATAGAGATGCACTGTAATAGATTTCTGGCTTAATCTAGATGTCATTCTAATGGGGCCTTGTTAAAATTCACAGAGCAGAATGGACTGTATTTTCATGCACGTCAGATGACTGGTAAATTCTGACGCGGTGTGGGTCTGTGTGATGACTTTCTCGTAATTTTCACTCTCTGTTTCCTGCTTCTCCAGGGAAATGGGTCCTATGGGGCTTGTATGACCTGTTAATACAACCTTCTAGCCTGACGCCGAACAGGGAGGGAGTCTACCATGGATGGCATCGTTGAGCAGAAGAGTGTTCTGGTACACAGTAAGATCAGTGATGCTGGCAAAAGGAATGGCTTAATTAACACCAGAAACTTCATGGCTGAGAGCAGGGATGGTCTGGTGTCTGTTTACCCAGCACCGCAGTACCCGAGCCACAGGCTAGTGGCCAGTGCGGCACCAGGCAGCCTGGAAGGAGGCAGAAGTGAGCATGTGCAGCAGTTGCTGGACCCAAATACACTGCAGCAGTCCGTGGAGTCCCATTATCGTCCCAACATCATCCTCTACTCAGATGGCGTACTCCGATCCTGGGGGGATGGCGTAGCCACTGACTGCTGTGAGACCACCTTCATTGAGGACCGGTCACCGACCAAAGACAGCCTGGAGTACCCCGATGGGAAATTCATCGACCTCTCAGGGGATGACATCAAAATCCACACCCTATCCTATGATGTGGAAGAAGAGGAGGAGTTACAGGAGCTGGAGGTCAGAGAGTGTGCTTGTTGGTGTCCTTCTGGGTTTGGGGTGGTTGGGCCTGGAAAATACCTGTGAGTGCCTAGAAAAGCCTGAGAATGAAATTATCATGCAAAAATGCAGAAGGTACTACTTCTGAGCTTTTGTGGAGGATGGAAGGAATGGGAAAAGGCTGGGAGCTGTGGCAGTGATTCTGGTTAAAGGTGACCTGTGGTAATAGCCAGATGGGTAGGACAACAGACACCAGCACTGGATGGCAAGGCTGTTGGGACACTGCCACAGAAAAACTCTCAAGAGAGAGGGACACATGAGGAGAACCATTGGAAAAGTGTGTTGCTGTCATAGTGGGTCCCTTAGTTTGACATGGGAAGTTTCTACTAGTAGATCATTGCTGTCTCAGAACTCAAAAAGAAACAACAGATATTTAAAAGGGGAATTAAACCTGGGACTTCTCATACACTGGGAAAACATTGGTCCATTTAGCTATGTCCCTGAATCCAGCATATCTTATCTCTTTACTACCTGATGCAAGGGAGGACATTTGAATTACACACATAAAAACTTATGACCGGGACTCTGTGAGCTAGGTCACAGAGGTTACTAGTCATGTGATGTATGAGAGTCATTGAGGGGCTACTGCATTGCAGGAATAGTAGAAAGCAGAGCATTTTCAACTGGAACTTGAGTACAGTGTCCAGGAAGGAAGACTGTGAGATCCATTGACAGGTCGCTGAATAGCCACTCCCATGAACAGAGACCTTTATACCATCTTATAACACTGACAGGGAAAAAAGGACAAGAGGTCACCCAGAGCCTGGGTGCTTTGGTTTCTGTACTAATGACTGTTGCAAGTGTCTGCTATTTTCCAAAGTCTTGAGGTTTGGCCAACATTAAGTGTCTAAATCTCTCATCTTTATGTGAATCTGGGAAGCAAGCACCACAAGTGCGGCATGAATTTGACCCAGAAGTTCTGACAAAGGAGTGTGTTGTTGGCTCTGGAAACAGTCCCCGAAGGGCATGTGGATCTGCCATTGTGGTTTGACTAAAATGATGGCAATGATCATTACAGAAGTGGAGCCCCTATCCTGTATCTTAAGAGCAAATATATGGAGGCATTTCAATGGGTGATCGTGGGAGATAGGGTAAGCAGAGAAGCAGTCGACTCTGTAGAACTGAATGGAAATGCTAAGGCCTGTAGCAAGGGGAGTATGGGTGGAAGGCTGCTTGAGAGGAAAGTGGGGTCCTGTCAATCAAAACCTTAACCATCTACAGAAGAATGGGTTCAGGAGAGTCATACACCATGTTATAAGAGAGAAAAGTACGTGAGGAGCCCAGGGTAGCTGTCAGAGACAGTGGGCAGAGCTAGGGAGGCTAAGCCCTTCTATTCCTTTTATACCCCTTGGCTCCAGTACCACCCTCCAGTGGCTCCACAGCCACACCCTGTGGTCGAAGCTGTTAGATTCCAATTTAAAAAGTGTGGAATGACTGAGAATCAGAACACACTAAAGTTTAATCTACAAAACAGCACAAAGAAAGTGAGACACCATACAGAGAAACTGAGCCTGCTGGCTTTGACTTTCTGCCTTCTGCTGCAGAGAACCATGGGAAGATTCCAGGCAGGAAGGTTGTGACAAGGCGTTGGGTAGTTTTACGTCCGTTTGACACAAGGTGAAGTCATTTGAGAGGGGGGAGCCTTAATTAAGAAAATGCCTCCATAATATCTGGCTATAGACGGGCCTCTAAGGTGTTTTCTTAATTAGTGGTTGATAGTGAAAGGCCTAACCCGTAGTGGGTGGTGCTATCCGTAAGATGATGTTCTTGGATTCTATAAGGAGGCAGGCTGAGGAAGCCATAATGTATAAGCTAATAAACAGCACCCATTCCTGGCCCTGCATCAGTTTCTGCCTCCAAGTTCCATCCTAGTGTGAGTTTCTGCCCACACTGCTTTGCTATGGCATTGTAAGCAAAATAAACTCTTTCCTTTTCAAGTTGCTTTGGTCATAGACTTTCATTTCAGGAATATTAATCCTAACTACGACAGACAAGATGCGTATTTGGAAGCTGCTCTAGCTACAGAATGGAAAGCAGATGCGAGAAAGATGGAAGAGGCATAGCACACTGGAGGCACAGAGCCCTGTTATTATCAGGGATGGAAAGAAGAAATTAGGATAGCATTAGCAGTGGGAAGACATACTTCAAAAGTGTGATTTGTCACTGATTGGCTATGAAAAGAAGGTCCCACAGAGCATGGGCAGCTCTGGTAAGAGTTTTTGGAAAATCAGCTCGAAGGTACACTATGTCCTTGCAATTATGGTGTGGGATACTGGCTAGACAAAGTGTAAAGGAAGTTTCTGGACGTGTACGTTATGCTTTTTCCAATTATGCATGTTTTATTCCTCTTTCCCTTCTGATACATGCATATATGTTTTCTGAATTATTGATTTTATCAAGATCATTAAGAGCTGAAGAGGTGATTATGTATTTCCATAGACCTCAGTCAACTTCTGAGGCTTCAGAAAAGCCTAAGAATTCTCTTCCACCTTAACACTTGAGTAGGTGTTGAGCTTGCATCTAAACAACCAATATTTTAATGCAGTTTGTTGATTCTTGCTATGTCTGTTTCCACAATTTTGGCAATCGACTTCCAACTGGGCTCCTTTTTTATAAGTTTTTCACAGAGTGATCCTAGCTAGCTTGGTTTTTCGTTTATTTTTTGAATTCTGCAGAGGTCTCTTGAGTTAAAAATTAGTAGGTGGTGTTAAGAGGGACCGAGTTACCTAGTGTGTTAAGTCCAGGCCTTTGATGGATAGCACATGGGGGACTGAGGAACTGAGCTGTAGCAACCAAATGCTTTGTTCTGCCCTAGCAGTGGCATTGTCAACCCTGAGAAGCAATTGTTTAAAGAAATCATGTAACTGAAATATTTACTCATAGTGGTAGTGTTACTCTGTGTTTACATTTTAGAGTGGTCTTTTGCTATTTTGTATAATACAGTGGTATTTCTACATTATGAAGGTGTTCCCCTTCATCTGACCAATGTAGAAAGTAATGGAACAGCAGTGTGTAAAATGTTTACCTAGGCATTTAGACAGACATTCTGGTTAATCTCTAAGGAACTCACCAAGACTAAGACAGTCCACCCTCTCCATACACACACACACACACACACACACACACACACACACACACACACACTGAGGACAATAATTCAGGATATAGTATAGCCACTCTCAATTTCTCACAGGTGTTTAAAACCCCAGTAGTGAATATTAAGGTGATACTCAGAGTCATTATTGGGTTTTTCAAGAACTCTAGATAAACAAAGACAGCACTCTCAGGGTATAACAGCAGGGTATATCACTCATGCTTTTTGTTACATTTTTTTTCTAAATAAAAAAGAAGAAATTAAAGAAAAAAATTAGAGAGGGGGGAATTGCAGTTGATTTTTTTTTTTTTGGAGGAGGGTGACCTGCTTGAGGTTTAATAATAATGACACAGAGACATTTGTATAGTATAAGGCTGGTGGCCTGTTTTCTGGGGCAGTTCCTCGCTAGCCCATCTAAACTTAACCTGAGCTCTCTGATACTGCTAACTGACCACATGGGCTTCTCTCTGTTAGAAATCTTTCCACCATGATGGTTAAAAGCAGGAGCATGTGGGTGCTGGGTGGCAAGATGCTCACCAGCTCTTCTTTTGTACTAGGCAATTCTGGATCCAAGAGAGCCCTTCCCATCCAGCCACAATTCTGAGACAACATATGGTATCTTTGTCTTTCATTTGCCTTTATGTTTGTGTGAGTGTTTTACAGTCAGTTTCAAGAAGACCCATGGAAGGCTTCACTGCTCCCTGAAGTATTTGCCATCTTTTCTACTACTAGTTAACAACTGGAGAAGGATGTGGTTTGGTACGGAATGAGGGCGAGCTGAGGGAACTCTCAGTATTTTTCAGGATTATGCACTACATAGTCTCACTGGCTAGGTATATTACTGGTTTCTTCAGGACAGTCTGGATGGTAATAATTGGGTTTGTTGTCCAACCCATCAGGACCTCCTTCCTGGCAGGAGGAAGCTGTAGAATGTAACTGAGTGCCGGGAAGGTATGTGACCATTGCTTGATCTGAGTCCCAGCCCTCAGCTGAAACCTGAAGCTTCCAGGAGCACCTGCAGCAGGAAGCCACTTCACACTTCACACAAAGAAGCTCAAGCAGCAAGATTACAGTGACACATAATAAAGTAATTCTATGAAACATACAATTGAAATTAAAGCTATGGAGTGAAGTGAAGTGGATAGAATCCACTGCAGGAGGGCTTCATTCCAGCAGGAGGGCCCTGCTGCTCTCAGCAGTGCCAACCTGTGTCCAAAGAAACACCATTGCCGGCTTATTTCAATGCATACCTATTCAGACCCTGAAGCAGATAGAACACTGTCTAAACCTGCTTGGAAGCTTTGAGCCTTTTCTTCATTGTGGTAAAAAGCAAGGTGGGGGAAGGCAAGTGGGGACTCACAGAGCACTGGCTCCATGCTAGGCACTTTGCAAATTGTGTCATATAATGTTTGCAACACTAGACATAGGGAATACTAAGGTCTCTCCCTAGTGAAGGCTCACACATGCTGGAAGCCCTCCCAGTGTCATACAAGTTGGCTTTGTTAGAACCTTTGGAGCTGAGGCAGATCTGCTAACTTTAGATTCTTGCCTCCTAATGACCATAATGGTGGTTTTGTTTGTTTGTTTTGGAGATGGGGTATACTATGCCAAAACTGCAGAATCTGTGAATTGATCACAAAGAGACAGGGCTGGATTTGTCACTGGCCTCTTTTTGGCTTCTGAGAACCTCCAGCCTGGGCTCTCTGAGACTTTGGTGACTCATGTGACTGCAGCTACAGTGGAAACTGCGGTTACACATGTGCAGGAAAGTGGAGAGTCCTCAGCAGACAATTGAGGAGAATCAAAGAATGTCAATAGGACTGGACAACTTTAAACCAAAGGAAGAAAAACAAATTCAGAAAATGAT